CCCGCCCGGGGCCAGGACCCCCACCCCACCCCACCCGGGCTCCACGGGCACCAGCGCCAGTTTGTTCAGCTGCCGGGGGACGAACAGCCCCCGTCATGTCCCAGCGCGGCCGGGGACTCGGGCACCGGGCTCCCGCTGCACCGGGAGGGCGGAGGCCCAGGGACGGCTGAGGGCTCGGCCCGGGGAGGGCAGGACCGGGGCAGCACCGCGGCTCCAGCCCCGGCACCTGCACGGCTTGGGGTGCCCTGGCGCTGGACCCCAGCCCGGGCAGCGGCACATCCACGGAGCCGAGCCGGGGGGCAGACAGGGCATCCCGGCCCCATGTCCACTGCGGTGGCAGCCGCACACGGAGGGAGCCCAGGCACCCAGCTGCCAGCTCCCCACTGAGCCTCCCGGACGCAGCTGGAGCCAGCCAGAGCTCAGGTGCCCAGACCACGCTCGGCCACACTGCCCGCCTGTGCCGGGGGGCATCTCCCCAGCCACACTGCCCTCCCATGCCATGGTGCTGCTGGGGTGCCTGCGTGGCATCCTGTGACCCTGCCGCCCACAGACCTGGACCTGACGGTGCGCGTCCTGCTGTACACACTGATCTTCGTGCTGAGCGTCTGTGGGAATGCCCTGGTTGTGGCCGTGCTGCTCCTGAACCGCCGCCTGCGCACCGTCACCAACTCCTTCCTGCTCTCCCTGGCGCTCAGCGACCTGATGCTGGCGCTCTGCTGCATGCCCTTCACGCTCGTCCCCAACCTCATGGGCACCTTCGTCTTCGGAGAGGCCATCTGCAAGCTCATGGCCTACCTCATGGGTACGAGGGGGTGGCGGGCGGGGGCCATGCCGCGCCGTGCCACGGGCGCTGACCCTCGCTGCCCGCAGGTGTCTCCGTCTCAGTCTCTACCTTCAGCCTGGTGGCCATCGCCATCGAGCGGTACAGTGCCATCTGCAACCCGCTGCAGTCCCGCGTCTGGCAGACGCGCTCGCACGCCTGCCGGGTCATCACCAGCACTTGGCTCTTCTCAGCACTGCTCATGCTGCCCTACGCCGTCTACAGCACCACACGCGCCGTGCCCGCCCGCGGCGCCCCCCCGCCCGTCAGCCAGTGCACCCACGACTGGCCCAGCGAGCACGTCCGGCAGGCCTGGGGAGGCGGCCCCGGGGCCCCCGCCCGCCCCCGGGACCCCGGC